ATTGTCAGACAACTTATTAAACACGGGTCTGCGCCATACAGACTCACATCATGCTGCAGAGATACTTGTAGTTTACCTTTGAAATACTTATCCTTCTGTAGGATGGAGGGGCACCAGCATAACTCAAATCCTGAACACTTATAGTCTATACAGACCTAGTGATTGAAGGAAGGATCAAAAGATTAAATCTTGTCTGTCATCCTATGTATATGTGGGTGGAAAGGCATTCTGTGTATATGAAGAGCTATCATAAGCTAGTTACCTTGCATACAGTACCCAAGCATGAAAGGAAGAAGTGACTTTCTGACTGTAGAAGAAAATACGTGTTGGGGCACAGGCAAAGTATACGCTTCATACTTGTCTTTCTTCTTTGTAGCTGTCCCACTTGCCTCTGAGTTGGCAGTGGAAATTTTGGAAAAAGGAGAAGTAAGATTCTGGTTGCAAGCTGAAAAACTCTCTGGCAATGCAAAGGCCAACTTTGTATTTAATGATAAAGAGATTTTCAATGGAGAGGTAAGCCTTTTCATTGCTTACATGCGTTTGCATTTTTGTGAGTATTACTGTGTTTCAAATATACTTCCAGTCAGTGTTCCACGCTAATGCATTTTCATGAGAATAACGTGTCATTGCAAGCATCATTAGAAAGATCTTGTCCATAGTTCTGAGCTCCAGATGAATTCTACTGGATGCAGCTTATAAAGTGGAGACTTCCTGCCACCTTTGTGAGTACCATGTGTTCTGTTAACTAGTGGGGACCATAGGAGTTCCTGCAATAAAGTAGTCCCAGGTAAGCAGATACTGTGGTCTTCAAGGAGTCACTGCAGTAGCCCAGATTCAACCTCCCTCTGTCGTCTGTGGCCCTGTCATACTCTTGTGCTCAGTTCTCAGCTCTCTTTGCTGTTGGGAGAAATTTGTTACACCAAGGGAAAATTCCCAAGTGGTTGTTTCCAGCAGCAGGACTTACTACTGCCAAAGACGTGACACAGCATGCTTTTGTTTCAACACTGATAGGAGGCAGGGATGGAGCATTCTACACAAAAATCTTATAAAAATATCATCATACCAAAGAAAGTGTTATTCTGAAGAAATGCAGCTCTCAACCTTGCAATGAAAAAAACCAACAGTACTTAGCATACAACAGACATGTCACATGCATGCACAGCATCAGTAAATAGACTACACTTTTAACAAATTTTGTATTTATTTGGTTATATGTTTAGAACTGGAGCTTAGAGATAGTGAGAAACTGAGTAAGTGGGAGTCTGAATAAAGAAAAGAGATTTTCACCTAAACATACCATATAACATTTGACAAATATTTTGTGACTTTGATATCCATTAATTGTTCCTTTACTCTCCATTCCTGAAGAAATATAAAATGAAGGTGGACCAGAAGACTGGCCTTGTTGAAATGATTATGGATAAACTTGAGGACAAGGATGAAGGGACTTACACTTTCCAACTGCAGGATGGAAAAGCAACCAATCAATCCAGCCTTGTCCTCATTGGTGATGGTAAGATAATCCATGTTACACAGTAGGCTGGAAACATTATACCAAGGCTACCTCAGCTGTCATCTTCACTTTCCGTTGTTTTCAATACCAATTGATGTTCCAGTGTTTGTCTGCCGCATGGGACAGGGCATGTGTGTGAACTGCTATTTTTAAAGTTCTGAGAGGAAGGGAAATTGTTACAGAAATGTCAAATATTGTAGCCCATCATGGTTTGCTTTTCTATGGGTGGAATGAAAACTTCCCATGCAAAAAGCCAATTCAGCTGAGAACACATATCTGCACCTCTTAGAGCTCAAGCGGCTTGCTGACTGTCGCTGCTCATTTTCCTTTCTACTGAGAGCAAGAAGTAGCTGTATGATTGGGGATTACACTTCATCAGACAGGACATATTAAACTCCTGATGACTGCAAGCAGCTAGGAAAGTTGCGTTAGCTGTAATCAGCTTCCGACCCTTTGAAATGTTCAATGAAAACTTGACCCTGTGGCAGGATTCTCACGGACCTCCAAGGGACAGAGTTGCACATAACTGCTATAGTGACAAACGGCACACGATGTTTAACCTTGTATTTCTTGCTGGTTTTAATTCCTAGTATTCAAGAAGCTGCAGGATGAAGCAGAGTTCCAGAGAAAAGAGTGGCACAGGAAACAAGGTGATAATATGGATATTTATAAGAATCACATATGTGTTAGCCTATTAAAAGTTTGTTTATATTTTTATATGTCAATTTGAAATAGAGGATTTTGTTCTGTTATATGGTTGCTTACCTTCTGAAGCAGAAATAGGAAAAATAAAACCATGTTAAAATCTAACAGTATTCCTGTCAGGAAAAACATACTTGCCTTTGGGTTTATATTGTAAATACCGTTCCTGTGACCTTTAAAAATATATCTGTAATTTTAAACAGGTCCTCATTTTGTGGATAAACTGGGATGGGAAGTTACCGATGACTGTAACGTGATGTTGAAATGTAAGGTAAGGGGCAAGGAAAACCTTGAGTGCGATGTTCACAGCACTTCGACCTACCCACTGCTTAGACGGCGGCAGTGGGAAGGGACTAGCGGCGTGCCCTTTGCCTGTGTACTCCCAGCTGCACTTTGGATCGCAGAGACTCTGAAGGCTAATCAGAGGGGCGACTGCTCATTGTGTGTAATAAAACACCTTGGAAAATAGCTTGAACCTTTTCCTTCAGGCCTGCCAGTCATCCATCCAGGAAAAGGCACCTGAATAGGAAAGACAAGTCTTTGTAAATCCTGTGACTTTTTCATTTTTGGCTGGTTTCTGTGTGTAGAAATCCCCTGGGCAGGATCCACTGGTTCCCTGGGCTCCTTGAAGCTGTTGACAGCTCTTTTCTCTCTCTTTTCATCCCTGCTGTTTTCCCTCTTGCACCCACCTTGTTAAAACGGAGGCCTGCAATAACTCGCTGCAATCAAGTTGTAGGGCTTCCTGTTCTTTGAGAGACTTGAACGGGCTAACCCTTGCGGCACGAAGTCCCCCTGCTCAAGTGAAGAGAATAATTACGATGTGGTTTTCATCCGTCTTAGGTGGCTAATATTAAGAAGGAAACACACATTGTGTGGTACAAAGATGACAGGGAGATAATGGTAGATGAAGAACACGACTTCAAAGACGGTGTGTGCACTCTGCTGATATCCGAGGTGAGTGACGGTCCTTGTCAGCCCTTGGCTGAAGTTAGTGTTACGGATTCAGATGAATGATACGATCTAAACTGATATTTCAGCAGAACAATCAAAAAAGGAAGTGGGTGTTAAAAATGGAAAAAAACTCGCCAGACGTCTGTGTTTTAGCTAAAGCAAATGTCTGTCTGTAAGTGCTCGTTCAGATTTTCAGGAAATGATGACAGAAGAGATAATAAGCTTGTCACTTCCTTCGCATGTCAGTTTAACAACAGAATGAGACCGCATTTACGTTGCGGATGGCATTTGGAAAGCACTTGTCACTCAGTCTTTCCGAGGACCACCCTCTCGGAGTCACCAGGGAGGTCTGGTCAGTACCCAGCCTTGCTGCAGCCTGGGGTGTGACCTGCATTCACCACTTCAACTCTTTGCTCTTGGTTCTTTGGCTGAGGAAGAGAAGAAGTGTCAGGGGCTCCTGGGGCTGGGGGCTCCCCCATGGCCACAGGCCAAGGCCCATCCCACCACCCTGGCCAGGAGCAGGGCAGCTGGGGGGCACTGGGGCAGCTCCAGCCCTGGGACTTCAAGCACCTCCCTGGGGATGGGGACGGGACGTCAGTTGGGTTCAGGATTAAAACCTAAATTTTTCTACAGTAGTAACTATTCTGAATGGTTTTACCATTACAATATTGCAGTTTTCTAAGAAAGATGCTGGCACCTATGAAGTCATACTGAAGGATGACAGAGGGAAGGACTCCAGTGAGCTAAAGCTTAAGGACACAGGTCAGAGCCACTTTCTGCATGCGGTCAGCCACGCCAGCTGATAGCCTAGCCGCTCGACAGCAAGCACGTTTGGACAACTGCATGTGTCACCTTCCTGTGGCTTTGTTCCTCTTGTGTATAAGAATATCTCGTTAGAAAAAATGAGGTTTTTCAGTTCAGATAATATTTGAATACAGCTTATTGCACCTGGATTCTGTATAATTTTGGGAGAATACAGTGACTAATGCCAGGCAAAATAACAGGCTTCCTCAGGGAACCATCAGTAGAGTAAATCTACAAGTATAGAAAGAAATACAGAATTAGAGAATTTTAAAAGATTTCACATTTTTTATTATGTTTTGCCATTCATTTATTTAACAGCCTTTACACTCATTGTGATTATTATATTTAAAAATTTCAGTTAGGTTTCCGAGCAAGGGGAGATAAACCTATCCATTAGAGAGTGTATATATGGGTTAGCATTCCAACTGAATAGTGTAATTTACAGGAAAAAACCCCACCATAATATAGTTTTGTTCAGCTGCAGCAGTATTCATCAGGGCTGCTGCTAAATACAGTCTGGAAATCATAGAGTAACAGGCCATATTTCTGCATTACTTAGATTTCTAATATGCTTTATAAGGTAGGTCCAATTTCTTTTTCAAACCTACTGGGGAGAATATTTCAGAGGCAGTAGTTGCCCTATTACAGACTGTGATTGAACTGCAGACACTGAGTCTTAGTCTCTGGATTTTGTCTCCACAGCTTTTGCAGATCTGATGAATGAAGTATGCAGAAGGATAGGTAAGCACTTAGTTCTCTTTTCAAATGAACGACTCGTTGTCATACTCAGTGAATGGCTGCACGGCTACATAAAACCATGTGCTCTTCTTTCAGCTTTATCTGCGACAGACCTGAAAATCCAGAGCACAGCTGAGGGTATCAGGCTGTACTCCTTTGTTACTTATTATGTGGAAGATCTGAGAGTGGGCTGGGTGCACAAGTAAGTATGCAGAAGCTTTGCAAAAGGCGGTGCAATTTCCCTTTTATAGACTCTGAAAGAGTCTTGATATATGAGAGAGGTGAGACCCAGTTTTCTTCTCATCTGCCATGAGTCCTCCTCTCCTATGAGTTAGTTTCAGCGAATGAACACCCATGTGAAACCAGTACGAGAGCAGGTGGTAGTGGTGCAGGGGTCTCCTGTCATTTTCCTTGTGAGACAGATAGCATCCCATGGCATGGGACTATCAGGGCCGAGTTGCTTCAGAGCACTTCCCACCTCCCCGATGGGAGCTGCATCTCTCCCTGAATCAGTTTTAAGGAGTGGTGCAAATATAACCTGAGAGACTGACAAGCTTTGAAAGGGGCCAGTACCACGGGTTCAGAGATCCCTAGCCTGGAGGCCTGCTTGTCCAGATGCTGCAGTTCACAGGAACTGGGACAAGCAGGCGCATCTTCTTCATGCATGGGTTCATGTTAAGGAGGCAAAGCAAATTTCAGCATGTGCCCAGGGCAGTAAAATCCGGACAGCCCTTCCTGTGAGTGCTACGAACGTAACCAAGACAGACAGAGGTTTTTAAAAGAATTTGAATGCCCAGCTCCCTATAAAAATAATGGGAGTTGCATATCCAAATCCATGAGATGGCTTTGAGTTCTCAGGCGGTGCAAACAGCATGCACTGAAAAACCTAGAAAAGAAAACAACTTAGATTTGATTTAATAGTAATTGCTTCAAATCTATTACTACTATTCTTGCTGCTTCACTTCCTGTAGACATGGTAGTAGTTAGTCTGTAGGACGGAATCTGAATTACTGATCTCTCAGTAAAACTCATGTAAATGAGGCACAGAATACGCAGGATGTGCTGTAGCAGTCTGTCTGTGATTATTGACACGGATGCTAACCAGCAATGCTGTCAGAGAAATGAAGAGTTGGAGGTTTTCCTGTTTCTTGGCACCCATTTTGACCTGGTATGACCAGGAGTCCTAAACATTTCAAAACTGAAAGTAAATATGAAGTATTCTGGATTTCTCTTTCTCTCTGAATTTTCTCTCTCTTTCTTTCACTTCTCTACTTAATTTTTAGAAACTAATTTAATCTTGAAGCACATCAAATTAATTGAGTAAAAATGTTCTTTGGCCATCCAGTGTATTTGAAGTTATCAGTTTAAAGATAAAAAGAAAATTAGTAGCTTGTTTGACTAATATCTTTTGCCTCATTCAGGACAATTAACTGCTTAAGAAGACATATTTATGTCAAAGTGAATTTAACTATAAATGCCAAAGCATAGCATTGTCAGAATGCTATGGAGTCATAAAACGTTCCAACTAGGCAGACGCCATTTGTGACAAAAGTGGGGTCTACAGCCCTATATAGTTTTGTTTTGCCCAAGCAGAAGTAAACTTAGGCTAAGAAGAAAACATGACCATTTGAGGATGTGTGGATTGCCCTTCAGAGATCTGGGGTTTAAATTTGTGTAATCCTTCTATGGTTCGGGTCATAGACTAAAGTGCATGACCTTGCTGCAAGCTTTGAGGAGAGCAAGACCTCGAACAGGGAAAGACTGCCATGTCAATTCCACCCCATGGGCCCACAGCTTTATCCATTAATTTGACTTAAAAAAATTCAAAATACGGTGGCATAACATAGCACCTTGGAAATCATTTAGTAACTGCAGAGGTACTCAGCAACTCATCATGAGCAAATCCCGTTTACACCCTGGTAAAGTTAAAGGGTTGCTTTGTATTTTTCAGCGACACCCAGATTAGGTTTACAGACCGAGTGAAGACTGGTGTCACCGGGGAGCAGATCTGGTTGCAGATCAACGAGCCAACTCCACAGGACAAAGGCAAATACACAATGGAACTCTTTGATGGTAAAACAGGACACAAGAAGATGGTGGATCTTTCTGGACAAGGTAGGCCATTCCCTCGGCTAACATCATCTGTATGGGGCGTTACACTGTGGTTGGGCAGGAGCATCTATAGTGGGATCTTGCTACAGGCCTGTTACTTTTTTGGGCTGTAGAGTCTCTGTCTGTACCCAGCAGCCTGTCAGGGTTTCTGCGAACAGTGCAATTTGTTTTCCCCAACCTGTGCTCTCAGGTCGTAAGTGCCAAATGGCTTTTTCCTATTCCTAATGCCCTTCTGCGGTTTGCCGCCTGAGATGTCAGCCCAGTTTCCGAGCTATCCTACAGAACGTCTCATGTTGCTGGCATCGATTGGCACTTTTAAATACAAGTTGTAGCACTGAATGCCTTCTGTATCTTTCCCTTCCAAGTAATATTCGGAGGAGGAAGTGAGGGACAAGTTTCTTCTGTTATTTTCCTACTGTATTTCTTTGATGGATATAATAGGGCTCCTTATTCTTCAGAAATGTCAAGACTGGTCCCATTCATCAGCATGATGAAGGACTGTTAGGGGAGCAGCTAAAATTATTTGCATTGACTGTTGGAAGCTTTTATTCTGAGCGACCTCTCAGATCATAAGGAACAGACTAACTCCTTCCAAAATGTTGAGTTTCCATTCCCAGCTACTCCCATCCCTAAAGCTTCACTTTGGGTCTCCAAGCTCTGTGTAAGGGCAATAACCTTATGATCACCTCCATGTCACTCCTGTTCTAATCTGTCCCACCTTCTGAGATTTCAAAGCAAAGAGGTTGATCTCCCACATCATGGTAGCTTAGCCTGGATTTATGAAGGAGACAGCAGTTTGCTGTTTGGCTTGTGCATGGCCATCAGTGTGATGCTGTGGAGCAGATGTGAAAAGCACTTGGAAAAACAGACCTCTTGTATTTCACAAGTCAGTGGTCTGCAAAGTGGGGTGCATGCAAGATGATGGCGTGTGGGAAGAAAATATGAGAACTTCAGTAGTACATCTATATAATGTATAGATAAATAAGCATATATTAGGAGTGAATGCTTAAAGAATTTTTATCAATAGAGGTGCACCATGAAAAATGTTTGAGAGACCACTGCTGTAAGCTATGGTTTAGGTGGTCTATTGTGGGTTTCTTCCCTTGTTTTGTGAGATAATTGCAGCCTATTGCTCTCCTGCTACCTCTTTGTCTTAAAGCCTAACTTTTAGAAGAAAAAAAAAAGCGTGTTTATGCATTCATGTGTATATATGACAACTGCCATATACAAGATGGCCTTTATTTGTTGAACTATTCAGCATTTTAGGGCTTATACAATATACAGGCATGCATCCATTAAGATTTCTTTACTAATGTCTACATTTAACATTTTTTTTCTATAATTTAAATTTGTGGTGGTTTTTCTCTGAACTGACCTTTAAAATCAACTTTTCTCTTTACAAAGCATTTGATGAGGCCTTTGCTGAGTTCCAGAGATTAAAGTAAGTATTATGCCACAGTAATGGCAGCCATAAAGTAAAAACAGTATTTGTTTGTTTCATGCTGGAGCAAACTATATCTTATGAAACAAATCCTAGTCCTACAGAAGCCCATAGGAGTTTTGCACGTGAGTTCTTTGGTGTAACTCTTATATAACGATGAGGTAATGAAGAAAAAGCAGTGTTGCCAATTGCTGAGAGAGATTTTCCTTAACATGTTAAAAGTAGTTTAAAAGATAAGCTATTTTTCAATTGCTCTAACTAAACCTTAACTGAATTAGGCTTTCTTTTTGTTTCCCAACTCCAGGCAAGCCGCGATTGCAGAGAAAAGTAAGTGGGCCTTCTCTGACTTTGGTTGCAAAAAGCTGTTTATGAAGGTTTTCTTCCTCTCCCGGAAGGTTGTGTGTCAGGAAAGAGAGGGCACGTATACATGTGTATGCGCATGCGCTCATCGTAAAACAAATTTGTCCCTACACCAAGGAGAAGCAAGGAGAGAGGTCTTTTAGGGATTTAACATTGGTGCCCACTGCAGCTCATCACACCATAGTTATGGGTTGTGTTGAGCTCCTATTCTTACTTTCAGTTAGCCTTCTCTAAAAATTAGCTTCATTGTTGAGATCTCTCACGCATGTTCTCCGGACAAAAGTCACTTTGTTTTCAAAGATGGAGAAAATCACTTGGCTAGTTTTGAACTGTCTAAAATGTCAAATGACTCTGCATTACATACAGAAATGAGTAAGAAAGCAACAGTAGCTTTTGCATTGCTTAAAGACAAATCCCCAAATCTACTCTTACTTTTGCCTGTGTGTCAATTCCAACATACAAAAGTCCGTATAAATTACTTACGGAAAAATAATTTGAATTCAACTTGAACTATTAAGCTCACTATTCTCCCTATTTACAGAAAAATGCATGAAAAATATGTAACGTCAAAAATTCTCCCACTGCAGATGACATTCAATCCTGTATAAAAATGAAGGCAGAACTGGAATCTGAAAAGTTATTGGAGAAAACGTGTGGAGAGATCTGAGCTAACTCTCCTCCTGGACATACATTCCAAACAGAGCAGGGCTTGGATCTGTGCAGTGATCCCTACGTGTCCCAGCTGAGACAGCCTGAAGGGATCAGTAATATCCCTGCCCTGGGCACTTCATTTTTAACTCTGAACCATTTTTAAGGGGCTGGCATGTTAATTGACATAACACAGTCCTCTTCCCGGTCTCATGAGGTTGTTATCTCCATGCTCCAGAATACATTTAAGAGGAACATTCTGTGTAGTCATTTCCTTCCTCTGCCACGGTCCACCAAGACTTTTAATGAACAAAATCCATATTCCAGAAAAGTGCCCCAAAACCAGCATGTGATCAGCTTATTTGTATTTATGGAAGATTCCCATGGAACTTTGAGATTAAAACTAGACCAGATACTGATCTCATTTACACTCATTTGCATACAAAGCAGTGCAATTTCAGTGCTGTCACTGAGACTGTCTTTGTATTTAGACCAAAACCTAATCTCCATCACTTTACTAGCTGCTATTCATTTTCCATTTGGAAACACAACATTTTTAGTTTATGACATTAGAGTTTTAGAGCACCAAATCTCAAAAATTCAAATTTATTTTTGTGCACTCAGAAGTAACACTGAATTGATGGCAAAATCTGCAGGACACAGCACATGTACCTCAATTCCCCTCTGTAAGTGATTGACACCAGCTATTAACACATTTTGCTGTGAAGTCAACGTTTTTTAGCATCCAAATGGTGTGCTAAGAATGCTGAATAGCTCTCTGCTAGCACAGATACCAGAGACAAGTTGTACATAAATAAGATAAAAAGAAAGATCTAGAGGGGAAACAGAATCTGGGACACAATTGATTTTGAGACACTAAAGAAAATTTTTCTTATTTCTTTCCAGATCGTGCACGCGTACTTGGAGGTTTGCCCGATGTTGTCACCATCCAGGAGGGCAAGGTACAGTAAATTAACTGAAGCTTCGCACAACAGCCCAACAGCTTGAATGCCTTTCAGTGATGGGAAAATATTCACTTTTTTTAAAGATTCCATCTTTAAAATCTGCCACATTATTTATTCATCCTCTGCCTTCTGTACATAATTCAACGGTCTTGCACAGATGGGTTTATGTATTCAGGGCAGTGCCTTTTCTTCAGCATTAGATAGAAGTGAGATGACAATGTGAGTCGAGACTAAAACTCCTTATGTAACCAGCTCTTTAAAAATTCATGCACAGGTTTCACAGATTTTTTTTGTAACAGGGTATCAGAGAACTTTAATTCCTTTTTTACAAGATAGCTAGTCATTCTGTGTCTTTTGCAGTTAACCTCCTTGCAATGTGGCATGATAGTCACGCCTGTCAAGGCTGGCTTTTCAGTGGTGTAAAAGTAGTAAACCATAACAACTCAATTCTCATCCAGACAAAAGGAGAAAGTTTTCTCTGTTTCATCAGGACAAATGGGAAGGGAGTCAAAAGAAGTCACTGGTGTTACACTTGATTATATTAGCAGAGTTTAGATGAAAGATTATTGTAACGCACTCCCAGAGGAACATGGCTGCATCGAAGCTTGAGCACAGAACGGGTGACCCAGAAAGTCAGTTCTCAGGCTCACAAGCTTTTCCCAGCAAGCTGCTTCTACAAGTTGTTGCTTAAGAGTACTGAGGCCAAGAAGCGCCTGCTCTTCACTTCCTGCTGGTCTGCCACTAGCCGGTTCCTCTTTACAGTGTGTGCGAACATTGAAATAGGGCATGTGAATGTCACTGAAAACCTCTAACGTGACAACTGCTGTAAGACAGCTTCCTCATATTTCTGTCTTTGTCTGCAAGTAGGTCAGCTGGTTAAAACTGTTTGATTATAAACTGAGCAAAAGTGCTAAGGGTCCAAAATCTTGGTCTGAATCGCTTAACAATGCAAGATATACCATAGCCAACAGATAGTGGACTGGAGCACTTCAGGGAAAATTAACCATCTTAATGAAGAAATTATTTAAAATTTGACTGAACCCTTCATTAAAGGATTTAACAATTTAGGAAATGCTGTAGAACTAAGAAGCATTCATATGAGCATTGTAACTGCAGGTAGAAGACACAACAGTTGCAGATTCTCGTCTAATGGTGCTTGTTCTTGGAGATGAGATTCTAGTGCTACTTTGGCAGGGCATATATATTTGGGTGGTTATTATCAGTTTTAAGCTTTCTGCCAAAAGAGAGCTGATATGAAGCCGAGTATGAACTCCCTAAAGCAAAATGCACGGTGTTTAGAAAAAGGGAGTTTGTAATGAGTTGCAAAATCTTACCCAGACACACACTGTCCTTGACAGCAGGGATGTTTGAATAAGTGACTGAAAAACTCCCAGAACTCGAGACAAACATCCTTGACCTTATGTTTCTGGATACAGTAGATGATAGTTTTGAGAAACAGAGTAGGACAGAAAGCAATCAGGGAAAACAGTGCTTGTTTGGGTGGTGTTGGCTCATCTGTCTGTTGTTTGCATCTATGCTGGAGAGAGGGGAATGCAGTTCTCTGTCGTGTAATTCAGGCTAATCGTACAATCAGCAAGGATTTTGAAAAACAGTAAATGAGGTACCAGAGGACTGGCAATTGCAAGCTTTGATTCTGAAAGCAAGTGCAGCCATAACTACAGAGTTATATGAGCAGATTGGTATCCCTAATTTGAACTCCCAAGCATATGCAAGTCTTAAACTTAATGCCGTGACTGTGATGCTATTTATTAGCTTTTTCATGTGAGCTGAAGAGTATGTGTGAGAAAGAACGAACCAGTGTTTACCCAGTGTTAGTCAAAGAGCATTCCAGATGGCCTAAGAGGCTTCCACTGATACATGGAAACGCTCTTCAGCAGTGTGACATAATTGGAAAAGGCTAAGTGTTATTTCATATTAGGGAGGAATTTGACCTGACAGAGAATACTAGCATAAGTTTTGTGTACAGCTGGCCAAATTAACCTAAATGGCTGTTTTAATGAAGGCCTGTAAGTGATTGAGGGCTTTTATTTTTAAAAGGAGAAGCTTAGGATTCTGACAGATGGACACTTTCAGACCTAGAAACAGCAGGTTGCATCCTTCTGCTCATCAACTCCCCACCCTCCCCTTCTGGCAGGTGCCCTCACAGGTAGGCTGGAAAGAAGGGCGCAGGTTCCCATGACCGAGTTGCTTCAATTAACTCACTGGCATCTCAGCCCAAACCACCCATGGATGTGAGTTTGTGCTAACATGCAAGAGGAAGGGCAATACTTGAAATACAGTGACGCTTTTCTCTCTGCCACCTGTACTACCCTACTCAAGACAATCTGCAGTGAAAGGCAGAAAAAGTTGGGGGGCACAAAAGGTCTTGCACCTGATGCCAAGTGCACATGCCTCGATGCCCCCGGTCCAGACTTACAGGAACTCTGTGTGGAGTTCTGAAATACCGAGATCCAGTTCAAAGCGATGGGTTTTAGTCACACAGGATTTTTCAGATCGTTCAGATTTCTTGATAGATTTCATTCACTCACCACAACATCTAGACAGGTTTCCAGTCCTTCCCTCTGCCTCCCCAACAGTCAGTCCCGAACCATGACTTCTCCTTGTCTAAGGCTCCATAATTATGGAATTACCTTCCAGAAAGCCAAAGATCTCACCATCCATGCAGTGAATGATAAGATACAGCTCTGCACATTGGTAACTGGAAAATAAGTAAGAGTTGGTAAGATAAAGAGGAGCACGGATGTCAAAACAAGAACTAGTGATGCAAGGTTAAGCAAAATGCAGCTATTTTAAGGAATTATTTAGAAGAAAAAAAAGAATCATTACCGCTGCTTGAATCTCTAATTCAAAAAGTACTGACACCACTTCAAATGCCTGAGGTTTTAGTGAATATTGGTGAATAATGCCACCAATAGAGCTGCCTGGCCATGGACATCAGCTCATTAGTATCTTGGAGTGGCAGCTGGGGCCACTCGGTGATGATCTCTTTCTTGCTGGAGAATCAGAAGACAGTAAAGAAATACCGAGCACCTGAAGGGAGCCATATGCAATGCCTGGCTGAGGGCATGTTTGTATTGAGAGCGATAAGGAAGAGGGGGGAAATGTAAACCCTCTTGTTTTCTCCTTTGTTTTTCAAAAAGATGGACTGATCCAGCAGTCAAAACCACATTCACACCAGTGGGCTATGACAGAAGGCAGTCAACAGCCCCACGCGGTCACCAGCCGCAGGTGCTGCAGGAAATCAGATAGAGGCCCTTATCACCATGCCATAACCACCCCTCACTTGGAATCTGCCTTTCCTTCGGTACCAAGAATTGTGTGCTGTTGACGAAGGAAGGACTTCCCCCTCCCTTTTGTCCTCATTTTGAGGACGTGGAATTTATTTCTATTTTGTTGTCAGAGGTGCAAAAATCTTTTGTTTGTATAGAGGTATCAATTTTTTCCGCTCGCTTCAACAGCCTTCTGGGTATCTGTTTTCTGTCCCACCTTCCACCACCCCACTGACACATAAGAAACAGAGAGGTGAGGGGAAGGTAGCCTGTTAAATAGATTTCTCGCTGTAGCTTTTTATCATGACAGCCTATAGGGCCAACAATGTGAGCGCTCTTCTGTTGCCTCCATTTTTGATGTGTTTTTATCGAGAGCTTTTTAAAAAAAAAAAGTAAGAGAAACTTGATTCCAGTCAAGTGGCAGCTTGTCCATTCCTCATGTATCACTTAGGCCGTTCCTAATGAACCACTGCAGACCATTTTCTCTGCAGGAAGAATTCTTCAATTTCCATTAAAAAAAAATTTTACTTCGAGTAACTTAAGTTTGGACCAATTTATTATTTAATACTTAGACATAAATGGATTACTTCCTAAATAAGGTCCAGAGAAAGGCCTACATATCACTGAATTTTCATATAACGTTTTTAACATTCATCTCTCTGATGTTCACTTTGGCAAACTCATTTTGGCGAAGATTCCCATGGTGTTTATATGTACTGGTATCTCCCAAACATGAAGTTCTCAGCTGAGAACACAAAACGGGAGGCTTGAACATTGTGTGCACGACAGACTCGCCAGCCTACGGAAAGTATACAACTGGCAGTGATCTCTCCAACAACTGACTCTCTGATAATGAAGATAATCCCTTCAGTCTGATGGGACTGAATTCAGCCCTTAGAAACATTACTAACATCAAAGAGAAATACTTATACAAACACCAAAGAAAGGGTGAAGCCTGCATTGATTTCAGTTAAAAATAGTTTTACAGAAGTGCGTAAAACAATTCAAGTCTCTTGAGAGAGATGTCAGGAAATAGTTTAAAAAGATCCTAAATTAAACAAAATATTCCAGGGACACTTTGCTCTTAGTTATTTAAAAAGGAACTTCTGTGAGCTTAATGCAAACAACTCCATTTGGTGTTTTCTCAAATTCTCATTTCTGGTCTACCACACAAATGCAGATAATATCTGATTTTATATTAAACAATATGCATGGAGGAAGATCTACTAATGATTATGAGAGCAGAGAAGAAGGTCCATAAAATATTGAAAGGTTTTAATGGAGTTTTTGAATTGAGTTCCTTCTTTTCCTCTACCATACAGCAGACTGACAAAAACTATTGATTACTGAAGATGATATGCATCCATTTACTAAAAGCAGGAAGCTAAATAGGGGGTTGGAACATCTGGAGAGTCAGGCATAGAAAAACACAGAAAATATTTACTTACTCTTACCTGTAATTCATTTTGTACTTTTTTTCTGTAGGCACTTAACCTTTCTTGTACTGTCTGGGGAGATCCTACTCCAGAGGTTTCATGGCTGAAGAATGAAAAATCATTTGTATCAGATGCTAACTGCATGCTGAAATTTGAATCTGGAAAAAATGTCAGCTTTACCATTACTGCTGTGTCCACACTCGACTCTGGGAAATACAGCATTGTGGTGAAGAACAAGTACGGCACAGAGACCAGCGATGTCACTGTAAGTGTGTTCATACCTGAGGAAGAGAGACAGTCTGAGCAAGAGAAAAAGAAAGAAGATAAGAAAACGAAAGCCTGAATTTTAGACTAGGAAACAGAAATATGTGGGAGATTTTGGATGTCAGGCTGACATAATCTGTGTGTCTAACTGGCTTTCTGCTTTAGCAGGCAGCCTTGGATTTTTCCATTCATTTCACTTTTGCTTCTAACACACTTAATTGTGCCAGGGAAAACAGGGCCTTTCCTAGATATTTTCTTCCTGCTGACTTCACAGAACCTAGTTGCAGCATCTTCAGCCACGCTGCCTGTGAACACAGGTCCTTTGACCCTCTTCCTGGAGCATTTGACCATACAGCTAAAATGGAACGGGTGCAGTATTGTTTCAGTGGGGGCAACTGATGAGGTAGATGGAAAGATCACAAATGATCGAGGCATTTTTAAGCAGTAGTTTAGATTTGTTCCGATTTTGATAAAGTAGCATAGATGGAATGCATTAGAGAATTAAATCATGGAGAAATTAGTGCTGTGTTTTGTCTACATTAAGGCCCTTTTGTATTGCTGTGTTAATTTAGAGAGGCCTTAATATGGATGTCATTTACATCCATAAATATTGTTTAAACTGCCCAATTGGGGTAAAAGTACTGTAACATAAATGAAAATTAGGCTTAGGAGGAATGTGTGTGTGTGTGCGTGTCTGCAAAAATGTATGAACTCTCCACTATGTTCACAAATAAACAGAATTCACTTTCCTTCTGTCACAAGCTTGTTTCACTGTGTCTTGTTTTACTAGTCACGGCTCTGGTAGTTGTGCACAGTATCGTAGAATCTGAATGCTTTCACCTCTGTAACTACCCCTAGATTCCCTTGAGATCCCTGTTAATCTTCACTTTACTCTCCACAAAACTCACAGTAGCATCTCTTCACACCTTTCTGTCCAGACACTACTACTTCACATCTCAACTCAAGAAGGTCTATTTGCAAATTCAGGCACAGGAGTAGTCTCATGCAATTCAGTGGACCCGCTCATGAATTTTGATTTTAAGGGTGTTGGGTATGTATTTCGTTAGACTGAGACCTTAATTGATGTCATCCAAACTTAACATTGGAGATCAGAAATAATATATTTTGTCAGAACCTTTTAAAGCTACAAAAAAAGAATCTTCACAGGAACATAGGAAAAAAAAATGGTGGGTTTTTTTTTCCATACAAAATGTTTTGGACAAAACCCATTTGTCCAGATCTTTGAACACACTTATATAGACTAAGAACTACATCAGCTCTTTTACAACAATGTCAATGATTATTTTTAGCTGAGGAAGAGCAACAGCATGTGTATATATGTGTCCATCCTGCTGGGAATATATATGATATATACCAGTGATATAATATAAATCATGTATCATATCTATGTATCATACCTAATATATATCTCATAAATACATAATCGCAGCAGTTATCAGCCCAATTGCTAATTAGGAGAGCAGTGTCCCATATTAATAATTCCTTTGATTACTAGTCTCACAACAGCACGATTCTTCACACCAAAATCTAACGTACGTATTTTCAGTGTAAGCATAATCTGTGTGCACGTTTCACACACTTCCTCTTGCCATGCCTCGCTGCTGTGTCTGCAGGCATGCTGCTGTTTCCCAGGCACCCATTTTGCTGCAGTACTGACATTTCTGTGAGGATGCCACTAGTCAGTGCCGTACAGTTAATGCTCACTTAAACCCTTGCCATCGGAGGTTTGCTGTCAGCTAACATTAAAGTGAAGTGGAAGCATGACGGAATTCTTAATGGCTCAGGTAACAATAGAATCAACGCTGTTATCAATAGTGAAAGTGGTAATTTTTGCAACATGTAATATATTTTTCTTAACCAGTTTCTATAAAGGGCTAATTATTATGATCATACTGATTAAAAAAATCCAGATTTAGATCAAATATATGACCTATCAAAACACATTTAGCATGTGCTTAACTTGATGGGTGAATAGTACCACCGGTTTCAAGGAACATTTTAAGTTTATCTGGTACAAATATTGTTTTCTTCCAGAATACACTGCACAGCACAGGGATTTTTAATATGAAATTATGTAAAACTGATGTGTTTTCAGCATTTCACATAACCAGTGTATGTATTCACACAGCCTCTTCTTCTCCTAAAATAGGTAAAACTCAAATATCAATCTTGGTGATGTTATTGCAATTTTAATATTTAAGTGTGTAATTATGTACATTAATGAATTGATATCTGTTAAAAAAATTTCAGTATATTTAGTCACAGCAGCTGTGTCTCAGAAAAAGTAAAGAGCTTAATTTTTGAATTTTCAAAATATAATCATGAGAATAGCTGTAATTTGAGACACAGCGATCTTTCTGAGTTTAAAGAACTGATGTCAAACTATGTGATAATTTTGCTTCGTATGACATGAAGCCAATTCAAGGATGATAAGAGCAGGTCACTCCTCCTTGGCCTCAGGACATACACCTTAAATGCAAGCGTCACATCACTTCCATCCTCCAGAGTGCAAATAAGAATATGACTTGCTCTTCGCAATACCTGATAATGGATGTTTATTCCTTAGCTTTAGCGTATTTTTAATAACGACTGCATTTTGGCAGCAGTTTATTTCTATTACTTTGTCTTCAAAATTCTGTCCTCCTGTGTCCCTCCTTTTGGCAGAACTGAGAGGGGGATACAAGTGGGCCACCTCACAGGTAACAGGCTGGATTCTGCTTCACTTTGCTTTGGAAGATGTCCGTGTCCCTGAAAGTTAAGAGCGATAGCTGCTTCTAACTGTATTGCTGTCAGGCATTCAGCTACGGTGGTTTCAAACTGAATCTGTGATGCATCCACATGCCTCGTTTGTGCACTTCTTGTTCTTGCTTTGCTTCAGGTGATTGTGATTTCTGTGTCAGGACAGACTGACACAGTCCAAAGACATGAGCAAAATAATACAGCTGCATCTAAAAAGAAAAAAATGTCAACAAGCAAACGGAAGGAAGGGGAAAAGAAAGGTAAGAGCACTCTCACCTTTATGGTCTTCTACTCTACTGATAAAATCGTTGAACATTATGCAGTTAATAGTCTGTGCCAACCAGTATTTCTAAGGTCTCAATCAAGTTTACAGCATGTATGCTCTTAATCCACAACAAATGCAAAGTATGAATTGCCAGTTTAAACCTCAGTGAAAAGAGATTTAAATCAACACTTTTACATCACCTTTCCACTGGGCAGCGTGTTCTCACCTTGGATTAGCTGGCTGATGAAAGCTTTTTAAGCCATAACAAATGCTTTCAAATTTCTGAATGCAGAGGAAAAACCTCCTAAACATGTACATATACACAGATGGTGTTATTTTACAAAGTGAGACTCATTTCAGCAGCTAGACATTTGACACAAAAAAAAAAAAAAAAAAGGCCTTATTAATTAAGGAACCCTAAATGCCAGTGATTTAGAAAACCCTGATCAAATAGCCCCTGTTTGAGATTAATCAATGATTCTCTCTTAGTTTTAAGTCCATATTGAATGTTAAAGTTGGAATTATAAGTGACCATTTTTTTTCCAATTTAGAGAAAGGGTGGAAAATGAAAAGCTCTGGTGATTCAGCATTCTTGTGTATTCTTGTTATTTTTACTGTTCTTTTAGACTCCTACTGTTTAATTGCTACTTGGACATTGATTTATTCTTCACAATTACAACTCCCTCACGTAGAGCGCTTTCGCTCCAAACAAGGCTTAAATTCCAACACTGCCAGAACATCTGTTTCATGTATTTTTCCTTTGTACACAGAGCGTATACATGTTATATCACTGCTGACAGCACATTTTATACTCTTATTCCCCTCCCCTTTCTGCTCCTAAAGCAAGAACAAATATTTAACTGCATTTCTTTCCTCTCTTGCCTTACTGGTAAGGGTAACCTAGGCGTTTCTGAGCAGTCATGTAAATAAGATGACTTATGTGAGAAACAATTATTTACATCTGTAAATGTTTTGCAGGTTCTACCCCTTAATCTTTTTAATTAGGGACCATAAAGACTTGGTCTTGCTTTTGGCTCTGTAAAAAGTAGTTATTTGTGATACTGAATCTCTTTATATGAGTATGGAAAGAGGAAAAGAGAAGGTTATAACGAATGTGAATGCAAACTCTTGCTCTACATACCTCTGTGTTACTGAGCATAGTAAATGTAAGGGAAATCTTATTACTTCTCCTACATCAGATTTTATTAAGCCACACGTAGAAGAAATTATTGCTACAGAAGAAACACCTGATACAAAAGAAATCCCCCCGGTGGAAACACAAAAGGATACAAAAAGCAACCAGCAAGCAGCAAAGACGACTGGTAGCAAGGCAGCAGTAGCAGAAATGGTTCCTCAGCCCACAGAAAGCGTGGATAGGCAGGGAGAGAAACCACTGGAAAAAAAGCCTTGAGTAAACCCCGCTGTTCCTGAATGAAGAATGTGATCTTGTTTTGCTCTGGACAATAAGTTCAAGTTGAGATTTCATGGGTGGTAGACTAGCCATGGTATTTTAACACAAAAGTTTATTAGTGTTTTTTATAGCATTTGTAATACTTCATAACTTTAAATCCACAGCAGGTGGGCACTTATGTCTCAGCACCAGATTAGTTGCACTGTAGTAATTTCTATGTATCTTAATAATGATCCATGTACTGACAAGGTGAATTTAATAGCTAAAACATGTCCATGATGAAAAATTCTAGCCAGAACTGACATATTTACTACTCCGTAAAAGAATGCCGACACCAGTTGTGTGGCTCTCTTAATTGATATTTGTAGGCCATCACAGCTTGAGGCAGACCCCGCTCACTTTCTCAAGAAAACCATACATACAGTCCTCTTAATGCCATGTGGGCTGTACTCCACCACGACCACTTCGGCCACTGGGGAAGATCTCCAAAAACACAACCATCTCCTATGGATGCAGGGGGGCCATAAGCAGGTTTTCTTTTGATCTTCCATGAGTACCTGTTTCAGCAGGTGGATCAGGATGACATATGGACGTGTCTTATCACTGCTTTTCAGTCCTCTCCATTAATTCCCTCTTGGCCTTG